GAGATAAGTCTTGGAACTAGACTTATAATTCTATAGTTAATAAAGTTACTATTTTACACTTTCAACCTTCTTCTTGTTTTTATCATAGGATTGATCATGATAATCTTCTACACACGTAAATTATGATAATAAATTGGTTTGTTTGTTAATCGTTAATTTCTCTTAGGAAAGGCCTTTAAGATAATTGTATTATTAAGTTTATTAGTTTTGTTAGCTTGGTTTGAGACGATTCCAAATCTAACACCAGTTAATAACTGGTTAAAATTAACTTAGGCCAGTATTATAATTTGTTAGCAATAGGTGTATGTTGGGTTTTTTCTACCCTCTCTCTGAAAATTTCATTTTTTTGATGTTAAAAACCAATGAATCATTTAGAAATAAATTTAATTTATATAGGGTTAAATATAAGAAACTTTCGAATTTTTAGTCAACTATTCAACTATTAGAGAGACAATGCAAAATTAATTTGTAGTGATTATTGGGAATTGATATATAAAGTTGTTAAATGTTTTTTTTATAAATATGTTTATCAAGCGACATATATAATCGATAACCTGAATATCAGCATGTTTGTTTTGATAAAATTTTTATTGATCAAGTTATTATATTTTTTAAATCTATACATTTTATATTTAAATGTGTATTTGAATGATATATTAAAATTTAAAGCTAAGTGTTTGATTAAATTTGCGTATAATGATTCAATTTTGATTTAAAATGCAATGAGTGATTCAATTAAATCTTTAAGCGCATTGCCGAACATAATTTATAAGATAAACAAGGAAAGATTTATAAAAATAAATTCTTTAATTTTGAATGAAAACACTAATCCTTAAATTAAAATAACATCGAACTTCTATATATTAAGAAAGCTTAATTTTACTTACTTGAACATTGTAGACGGAAGTCAGGTAGATATTATAGAAAATTAATTAGCGAATTGAGTTTTTAAGGATTCAGGGTAAATTTGGCAAGCTATTTATTTGTGTATTAAACACCAAAGTTTTATTAAGGAATTTGGTAGGGTTGGTAAACTAGTTATTTTGGTATCACCGCAACTGAGTATCGCTAAGGAAGCTGGTAAGGTTGGTAAGCTAGTTATTTGAGTTTCATGGCAATAGGGTTCTGTTAAGGTGTTTGGTAAGGTTGGTAAGCTAGTTATTTGAGTTTCATGGCAATAAAGTTTTGTTAATTTTCGAAATCTTTGCAATCCTCTTAAGGTGTTTAATATATCATCCTTATTAAGTTCAGTAATCGTTAAACTACGAGTCTTATCATCGTAAATAATGGCGAATGTTTCATTATTCGGTTCTAATTTTTCTGCACTCATCTGATTAAAATTTTGAATCATCTGAGATAAGTCTTCATGTAATGAATTATTCATACTTGAATAAGGTTGTTGTTCAGAAAATTGAAGGTTTGATTCTTCTTTATTAATTTGATCAGGTTTTATTATATTTTTTTTTGTAATAATTGCGTTTAATTCATTTACTACCTTATTCATAACTGGACGATTATCCGGCTCGTTGTCCCAGCACTCTACAAATCATATAAATAATTTAGTGATCGAAATTCATTATATTTGAATTTAAATTTAGTAAAATATTTACCAATATAAATGTTTACATAATCTTCAGGCGTACCAGGAATGACACTTTCTCTGAGTCCTTGTAAGATTTCAATGGCTAAATCAATGTCGTATGGCTCACCTTCAACATAAAAAGGAGGACGACCAATCGATATCTCCCATAATAGAACGCCAATACTGTAAACGTCACTTTTTCATTTAACGTATATTTTTGTTATGTATTGTCATTTTTTCTCCGTCCACCAAATCTTTTAGGATCCATATAAGGAATGATACCAAAAACTTTTGACTGGTTAGTTGCTTCGTCAATTCTTTTCGATAGACCGAAGTCTGCTAGTTTAATTGCACCTTGATGAATTAATATATTGCCGGAATGCTATTACATGTAAATGTAAAATTAAACTGTAAGATTCTTAATAAACAAAATACAGTAAGATATAAATTATGTAAGATACCAGATCACGATGCACAATTCCTTCGTCATGTAAACATGACACGGCACTAGCTAACAGGAATGCCAAGTTGTATTTGCCTTCCCAAGAAAGTTTATCAAAATTGTCCTTCAAATATTTTCTAAGTGCACCGCCATCAGCATATTCCCATTACTAACCAATATTTTTTCAATTGGTTTTCTAATTTTTTTTTAATTTTATAAAAATATATAAATGAGTTGAGTTAAAAATTTTAAATGTAAAAGTCAAAACATATTCTTTAATTAACTTAATTATTTAAGATGTTATACCTTGGTTTGATGCTGTAATCCCCAAAAAGCGAATGATATTACAATGAAAATCAACCTCCCGTTGAAATTCAAGCTAAATTATTAAGAATATAAATGTTATCTTGATAAATAAATGATTTTATAATAAATATAATGAAATACAATATTGCATTTGTAATTACCTCACGAGCAAGTTCTTTAATAGTGGCATTATTATTAAAGTCATGTAATAATTTTAATGCGAGGTATTGCTTTGAACTTTTCCAATTTGCACGGTAGACTTTTCCAAAGCTGCCTTTACCAATCTCTTCAAAATTGATAAAATGTTTGTATTCGTAGTATTTGATATCTTTTCTTAAAATATATTCTTCAAACCATTCATTTGAATTATTGGAAAAATTTTTATTATTTTTTTTTAAAATACCTTTGCATTTTGATTTTTTTAGTTGGAATATTTATCAAGCGAAATGGTGAAAAAAATGCACTCGGTAAATCATGCAACTGCTAATTATGAACGGTGTAACGTTGGGTGTTCCATTATGTAAATTTCTACTAGACCAGATAATGGATAACGTTAAGTTTTTAAATATTCTAATTTGATTACGGGTTGCAAGAAACTTTTTTTCAAATGTAAAACAACATGGAATTGATGGCTACACGGAATTCGATAAAGAAATGCATATGATAAACAGATCAAGAAAGCCGACAAAGAAGTTGAAGAAGAGGAAGTTGAGGAGTAAGACCAAGGTGGAGACATAAGAAATCAAGAAGATGAGAAGAAAAAAAGGAGCAAGGTACAATTAATCGTATTCAGCAATCCCACAACGTTTCTCATTTTTTCCTTTGGAACAAGGCGTGTACTCAAGCCAATTATTCAATATGTCGAGAAAGCTTTTTCAGATATCTAATAAAAAATGAAAATTACATCTCTCATGGCGTGGTGGAAGGCTTTGTGACGAATTGTAAATTTTCATCTGATCGAACATGTTTTTATGGAGAATATAACTTTCAAAATCCAGGGTGATGTAAGACAGTTAAGTTTTAAGAACATAAATAATATTCTTACAAAGAAAAAACCCAACGGAACTAACTTTATTATTTATGTGTATTCGTTAACTGAAATAGGAATTCCAAATGTTGACTATCTTTGTAAATTTGCGCAGTTTTAATTAATTAGATCAATTACTTAGTTTAATATATTGACAGTAGAGCGCCAACGTTGAGGCAATACTGATTAAATTGACATTATTATATAAATATTTGTCACAATTACTTCATATTTACTCAATAATTATTCAATTAATACCTTATGCTTACATTACAAATTGTTTATAAATACATAAACGATAGAACTGAACACAATACTATTCAACCAACACAATGGTAGGTTTTGTGAATTCCTCATTGACAACAACATTTGTTGTAAAACTAAAGCTTCATTATTCCAATTTTTCAATCTAATTCCAAAATAAAAACACCTTGGTTAATGGTTCGATTGAAATGATATTACAAATATATCCTCGAGGGTCCGTTAATATTTTTAAGTTTGAAGGTGTAAAGCCTCCATATTTTTCGAAGTTCGACTTGAAATAATAAAAATGTAATGTTAACAAAGAAAAAAACCATATGACGGACGTAAGATTTCCACTTGCATCCCATAATTTTTCCACTTAAAAAAATTTTCAATCCATAGATTTTTCTAGATCAAAAAAAAAAGTGCCAATATTTATGAGTTCAGCGAGCGAGACATGATTGAATCAGTAACATGTGTAATACTTTTTTTTTTTTTCAAAAAAAATAAATTTTTAATAATGGTTAATAATTGTTTGCATATAAATTTTCCTGTAGCAAAAGCATGGCATTTCTGCAAAATAATTAAATTATACCATCCGTATGCGTGCGTTTAAGAGTTGCTACTTTGTTTTAATGGAGTAGATTTCAATGTATAAAAAACTAGGAGTAGATTCATAACAAATGTTACAAAGTAGTAATAAATAAAGCCTTCTTCCAAATAAACAATGTCCTTAAAAATTATTTCACGAAAAATTTTCTACAATGGTTAGTTCGCTTACGGTTATTGCGTTTTTCATTATGTAACAACAAATTAGTATTTTTGTTCAAGATCCCGTCTCAATTTACACTTCCTGAATAAGTCGGTAAACTTGAGGCCAGACTTGTTTATTTGAATCGTCAAGTTGTGGATTAATTAAAAATCGTTATAACAAATAATCATAATTAATAATCCTATACACATATAGTTGTTCTGTCCTTTATACATTGTTCAGAACTCAAACTCAATGAATAAATTGTGCTTATTTAAAGCTGTTACCAGCAAGAAAAAAGGATCTTTCACCTATTGTTACCAAAGATAATAGAATAAATAAATGCTGAAAAAAAAGCTATTTAAATGACCGTGAATTGATTGATGTGATCCTTTACTGTTCTTTACAATAATAACACATTCTTTCACTTTAACCTTTTCACTTTTTTTTTATTAACATGGATCAAGAAAAACTAGTTAACTAATTTCATGAGATTTAGAAAAGTTAACTGAAATTAAAATAGTCTACTTTTGGGAATAAAAGATCATTTTATCGTCAGAAGGTCATAAAATGAAATCGTTCAATATATTCAGAGCAGAAAGAAAATAACACATAAATCATTCGTTCCGTTATTTGTTAATGAAAAGAAATGTACGACGAAGAGAATAGCAAAAAAGTAACGATGGACGACATCGAATTGAGCCATGGATCAAGCAAAACCGTTTTTTATATAAGTGAATAAGTTCATACTTTTGTATCAACATTTTTATTTTATATTATGTTTGTTTTATTTCTTCTTTTGATAAAATTTATTTCAATTTTAAATAAAGTCACGTTCAAAATAATAAATCTTCTATTCTAACAACTTTTCTATTTAACTTTTTTCATTCAGATGAAACATTCAATACGCATGTTGTTAAATTCATGCTTCGAACCAGCATATTTCAAAAATACAATTAACGTTGCAAGATAATTTTTATTTTACATAATTCTTCCATTTTTTTTTAAAAAAAAAGTAATACCATCGATGTGATGTCTTTAATTATTTTTTTTTGCAATTACCTCCTCTTTTTAACCATCCTTTTATATTCTCGATGTACATTGAATAATTGTCAATTCAGGGAAAATTGATAACAAATTGTATCGATTCTTTTATTTTAAATAACAATTATGATAATTACAATTTTTAATGGATTTTGCATTGAATTTATTGAATTTAATAACTATGTGATTATTCATTAGGAAACAAACTAATTCTTGAATCCTTTGAAATTACCGTCAAATTTTCACATAGTTCGAAAGTCTTTACACAAATATTTTTCAAACCTATTTTTGAAATGTGGCGTGCGCCACAAAATTTTATTAAAATTTTCAATATGATTCGTTCAACATGATACTTCACACGGTTCGGGCAAACCCTAATCCGATTTTGGTAAAAGTTGAACTTTTCTTGAAAATTTTGATTTCTATGGTTGAGTGATTTCAATTTAACAAAATTTTTAAAATTTGACGGTTTACAATGATAATAAAAAGAACAAATAATTCAACATAATTTATTAAGGTTATTTTCGTCATACAGGATCAAATTTACGATGAATAATTGGTTCAATTTAGTAAAACATCACTTAAACTTGGATATAATTTAAGTATACATAGTTTTTTTTTCATTCTCGCTCCTTTACAAATTCAGAGAAATCATTTTGACAATCATTTTAAAAAAATTATTTCATGAAAGGTATATATATCAGTTTCCCTTTTCGCACGTAAAGTTAATGTTTGATGCATTACATTCTTTTGTCTTAACTGCTTTGAGAAAATCAATAAATCATCGCAATAATTTTATTTGCGTGACGAACTTTGATTTTATAGCAGATAGGGTTTTTGTGGTGATCAATTTTTTTTGTTAAAATGTTTAAAGGTTGAGATGAATATGGGAACGACATTTTTATAAATTTTGATATCTTAAAATCAACTTTAATATACTTTGATGTACAAGTAATAAACTAAAAGTAAGGTTATGTATAAAGTGTGTAACCTGAAACTTTGTCTACGATAATAAAACCGGACTTCTATAATGTGCAACTTTTTTTTTTCTTTTTTTAACACCGAAACACTATAAGAGACGCAGTGAAGTTTAGTCTACTGAGACACGTATATAACAAAGTTCGTGTATATATAAAATATTACATACATAATACTTCCAACTTCCCGCTGATATTTTTAATGATCGATCATGCGACTAAAAAAAAAAGTCATTAATTATGACAAGTCAAGTAAAGAGTAATAAAATATGGGATCTATCTGAGATAAGTAAGTGATTCGAGTTAGGCATTATATAATTAATAGATTTGAATTTTTTTTTTTTTTTTTTTTTTTTACTTTTTTTATTTATTTTATTTATTTTATTTTAATTTTAAGAATTTTAGGATAATCTTATACACAATGGGTGGGAAAATATTTAAAAAATATCCAGAAGAAATTGAACAAGAAAGAAAAAAGAAAACGTGATCTACACCCCGTCCTGCGTTATTTGAATTGCTTGATCTTATCGCTGCGGAGCGTGCCTAGCTATGGGTTTTTTTCATTATCTGTTGATTCCGGATGAATCGAATCGACTATGTTCCATGATAAGGAACAATAGATCACTCATGTCGTAAAATGGAAGCGTTGATTCTAAACGATGAAAATTCGTGACATCATTCTTGAAAATAAAAATCAGGTTTATAAATTATATTATGAAAAAATGTTATTTGTTATCAAACGTGATATATTCTAAAGGATGAAGAATTTGCTAGAAAAATGTTGCAGGAGAATAAACTCTCTACAAGTTCTTTTCAGTTCAACTTTAAAAGTTAGAACAGGCCTAAAAATTGACCGAATAAATTTAGTTCAGACCTGCACTATATCTTGGCAAAGCTAAAGAACATGTTTATAATTCTAAAAGCTTGGAATAAGTTAAGATTTAACGTTTCAAAACTCCGATACTCGAATATTTCATTTGTCTTAGTAACAAAAAGTTATGTCAAACGCAAAAATGTTCAAAGCTAGAATTCAAGTTGGAAGAAAATTGGAGGATTGATATTTTTATTAATTATAACAATTAAATTTGTATCATTAATAATCATTAATAGATCATGTATAATTCTGTACCGTTTCTCAATTAAACAAAAATAAAAGCAAAAAAAAAAAAATTTTTTTTTCTTTGTACATTTTTTTGTTCAGTTTTAATACTGAACCCAAGGTACAGTACCTAGACAGTTATAAACACCATTGCCAAGCATTTGTTTTCAATGAATTTCGAAAGGCTGCCTTTTTTTTGTTTATTGAAAATATATTGTTAGCAACGGGAAGGGTATTGGCACGAAAATTTTAAATTATATCGTAAATTAGCAAAAAAAAATAAATAAATCAATAAATAAACTATCTTCGGAAAGAGGGTATAGGTACTAAATTACTTTGTATTGTTAAATTCTAACATAATGATAACTGTTCTATCGACTGATAAAAAAATTTTTTAGAACAATAATTAAATGTTAAAAAAAAATCAATTTATTTTAATGTTATAATCTGATTTTAGCATAAACACAAGACTGGTATTTTTTGAAAGACGGTAACAATGAGGAACGACTTACAAATTTCAGAGTAAACGAAGATTGCGATGCGAAGATTCACAAAACATGACTCGTCCACATGTTTACTTGGAGCAATCATTAACTGTTGATATTCTCCTGAAATTTTGTAAAAATTATAGTTATTTTAAGTCATAGAGAGCAAGAGTAGAAGATGAATTATTTGAAAATTATTTTTTTTTTTTAAAAAGATTGATTTCTTGATATAAATTTTAGCATATTTAAGAGCTTTATATAAAATGATCTATATAATGTGAATATATTATTTTAAAAATTAGGTTTATTTTACAATTTTTACAGCTAATTTCATAATTCACGGGACAGCCTACAATATCCGAGAATTTTCTGAAGCCAACAACATTTTTTATATGGGTTGGTAAAAAAAATTATGTCGGAATATTCGGAACACTGGATTTATTCCGAGTTTTTTTTATCGATCTGCATTATCCAGCAGTTCATAATGAGCAGTGGCTTAGAAATTTGTATGATGTACCGAGTGCATTTTTTTTCTCATCATTTCGCTTATTTCGCTTGATAAATATCCAATTAAAAAAATCAAAATGCAAGCTTCCAATAATTCAAATGAGTGTTTTGAAGAATATATTTCAAGAAAAGATATCAAATACTACGAATACAAACATTTTATCAATTTGAAGAGATTGGTAAAGGCAGCTTTGGACAAGTCTACCATGCAAATTGGAAAAGTTCAAAGCAATACCTCGCGTTAACATTGTTACATTACTTTAACAATGCCGCTGTTAAAGAACTTGTTCGTGAGGTAATTACGAATGCAATACGTATTGTATATCATTTTATTTATTATAAAATCATTTATTTATCAAGATAAAATTTATATTCTTAATAATTTAGCTTGAATTTCAACGGGCGGTTGATTTTCATTGCAATATCATTCGCTTTTTGGGGATTACAGCATCAAACCAAGGTATTACATCTTAAATCATTAGGAATACATATTCACTTTTACAGTTGAACTTTTAATTCATTTATATATTTTTAAATATTAAAAAATAAAAATAAAAATTAGAAAATCAAATTGATCAATTGAAAAAGTATTGGCTAGTCATGGAATATGCTGATGTCGGTGCACTTAGAAATATTTGAAGGACAATTTTGATAAACTTTCTTGGGGAGACAAATACAACTTGGCATTCCAGTTGGCTAGTGCTGTGTTGTGTTTACGTGACGAAGGAATTGTGCATCGTGATCTGGTATCTTACTTAATATATATCTTAATTTGTTTCTAAGAATCTTACCACATTAATATTTAATTTATATTTACAATAGCATTCCGGCAATATATTAATTCATCAAGGAGCAATTAAAATAGCAGACTTTGGTCTATCGAAAAGAATTGACAAAGCAACTAACCAATCAAAAGTTTTTGGTATCATTCCTTATATGGATCCTAAAAGATTTGGTGGACGGAGAAAAATGTCAATACATCACAAAAATATACGTTGAATGAAAAAAGTGACGTTTACAGTGTTGGCGTACTATTATGGGAGATATCGAGTGGTCGTCCTCCTTTTTATGTTGAAGGTGAGAAATACGACATTGATTTAGCTATAGAAATTTTACAAGGACTCAGAGAAAGTGTCATTCCTGGTACGCCTGAAGACCATGTAAATATTTATATTGGTAAATATATTAATACTAAATTTAAATTCAAATTCAAATATAATGTTTTTTCGATCACTAAATTATTTTATGATTGTAGAGTGCTGGGACAAAGAGTCAGACAATCCAGTTATGAAAAAGGTAGTTGATGAATTAAATGCAATTATTACAAAAACAAATATAATTGAACATGATCAAATTAAAAATGAAGAATCAAACCTTATTCAAGTATTAATAATTCATTACATGGCGAATTATCTCGGATAATTCAAAATTTTAATCAGATGAGTGTAGAAGAATTAGAATCGAATAATGAACATTCGCCATTATTTACGATAATAATTACAAATAACTAGTTTACCAACCTTACCAAACTACTTGACAAAACTCTATTGTTTTAAAACTCCAATATTCTGCCTACCAACCTTACCAAATTCCTTAAAAAAACTTTGGTATTTTAATACACAAATAAATAGCTTACCAAATTTACCCAATTCCTTAGCAAATATCAATCCTGAATCTATAAAAACTCAATACTCTAATTATTGGTCTACAAAATTTACCTGACTCCTGTTTATTTCTGTCTGAATAACTCTATTAATAACCTTCTATTTGTTTCTATATTCAAAGTTTTTTTCAAAGTAATAAAAGCTTTCTTAGTATATAAATAATTCGTAAAGTTATTGTTCAATAATCAAATTAAATT